CCGCCTACTTTCCAGAGGAGGGTGGAGCTTTCACAACAGCATGAAGTCTTAAAGTACAGTGTCTATTTAACTACAGCTCACATCACTGAACGATCAGCTGAATAATTAATCCAAGTAGGAGAATCACCCTCTTATACTTAGCCACACCCTCTTATTCTTAGCCACACCCTCTTATTGTTAGCCACACCCTCATATTATTGGCCACACCCTCTGTTTCTAAGCCACACCATCTTGTTCTTAGCCACGCACCTCTTACAGTTTGTTTGCTGTGATGGAATGATGTGCAGAAAGAAAGACCCACCCCCTACTCAATATTCAGCTTCAGAACAAACACACACACACACACACACACACACACACACACACACACACTCACACACACACCCCAACAGTGTTTATAATGCAGATGTGCAGCTCTGCATGTGTGTTGTGGCACTGAATCTTAAAACAGCATTAATTAAATCTGGCCTGATAGACGGAGGAGTCACGATCAATTAATTACTGCTGTGTCATCAAAAACACACACACACACACACACACACACACACACACACACACACACACACACACACACACACACACACACACACACACACACACACACACACACACACACACACACACACACACACACACACACACACACACACACACACACTGAAAGCTCTGAACACATCTATAGTGCATCTGTAAAGTGTTGATAGCGCTTCAGTTTCTCCATGTGTTTCTGTTACAGCCTTATTCCAAAATGGATTAACTTCCTTGATCTCCTCAACATTCTACACACAATCCCCCATCATGACCATGTGGAAAAGAGTGGCAGATTTATTAAGAATAAACAGCTGTAAGATCACCTGTACGTCAGTATTCTCAGGCTTTGGCTGAAGCTGTAAACTGAGCTCAGGTTCATTCTGTCTCCACTGGTCATTCTGGAGATGTTCCAGCAGCTTCACTGGAGTTCAGCTGTGCTCAATTCAGCTGATGGACATGATCTGATCAGGCTACACCTGTCTATATAAGGGTCCAGGGTCGACAGTGCATGACAAAGCACAAACCAAGCATGAAGACAAAGGAACTGTACAGAGACATCCTGAATGAAGACCTGCTTCAGGACAATGACCCAAAGCACACCGCCAACATATCAATAGAGCGGCACAACAACAACTTGGTGAGTGGCCCAGCCAGAGCCCAGACCTAAACCCTATTTAACATCTCTGGAGAGATCTGAAAATGGCTGAACACCGTCACTTCCCATCCAACCTGAGAGAGCCCGAGAGCTCCTGCACAGAGGAACGGGCGAACATCCCGAAGACAGCTGTGCAGAGTCGAGCATCATATTCAGGAAGACTCGAGGCTGTAATCACGACCAAAGAGCATCAACAGAGTCTTGAGCAAAGCCTGAGAACACTGATGAACATCTGATCATACAGCTGCTTTATTCTCCACACATCTGAACAATCTCTAAACTCTTCCACATGGTCATTATGGGGGATTGTGTGGAGAATGCTGAGGAAATACATCAATGCAATCATATTGGAATAAGACTGTGACATAAACACATGAGGAGACAGGCCAACATTATCAACACTCTCCTGATGCACTGTACACACACAGAGATATTTAACCCTAACAGACTGAACTCACAGTACATGTGTGTAATTGTGTATGTATGCATGTGTGTGTGTGTGTGTGTGTGTGTATGTATGTGTGTGTGTATGTATGTAATGTGTGTTTGTATGTATGTAATGTGTGTGTGTGTGTGTATGCATGTTTGTGTGTGTATGTGTGTGTGTGTGTGTGTTGTATGTGTGTTGTATGTGTGTGTGCTGCTAGTGTATATCAGGCGTGTGTTCTCCTCTGCCTGATCTCCTGAGTGTCGCTGCAGGGTGTGTTCTGTACAGCAGGAGTAGAGCGGCGGCTCTTTTGTTCACTCCTCAGCTGAATGGATGATGTGGAGCGTCTCTCTCGTCTCTCCTGCTGCATCAGCTCACTTTTGTCTTCCTGTTTTGTAATTATATTCAGCATCTGAACACCAGAGAGCAGCGGGGGGTGAAGCCGGAGACACAGCCAATCAGAGCAGCCGGAGCCGCAGCCAATCAGAGCAGCAGAGGCTGCAGCCAATGAGAACTGCCAGAGCCACAGTCAATCAGAGCAGTGAACTGCACTATACAGTATATATTACACCATCTACAGCTCTCTAAGTGTGTACTCACAGTATGTGCAGTTGCCTTGAATTAGGCCAAGCACGCTTGTCCCCCTCCCATCTCCCCGACGGCCCGCACTCACACATGAACTTGTGCTCATTAAACAGTGAGCATGATTAATAATCCAGATCAAACTGTCCCTAATGTCACGACTCGTCTTCAGTTTCAGGCTCAGGTGCTCTCTGCACTCACACACAAGTGTACCGCACCTGAGCCCAAGTGAACCGCGCTCAGTCACACCTCTTCCAACCGGGCCAGAGCCGGCCAAGTGAACCATGCCTGAGCCCGATTCAGAGCCTCACACTTCTCTAATGATCCGGGAAACGGACCTGGGCACAGTTCTGATAGCATAGTGAGTGAGTAGGCCCTTACTCACCACAACAGATCAATTACTGTAGTTGTCATGTGACCATAGCAACTGTAGAATCACCACAACAGATCAATTACTGTGTTACCATAGCAACTGTAGAATCACCACAACATATCAATTACTGTAGTTGTCATGTGACCATAGCAACTGTAGAATCGCCACAGCAGATGAATTAAAGCACTTCACTATTCTCCTTATTCCGCGGTGCAGACGTGCGCTTGTTTACTGTGGTTGTGTTGGAACTTCACATTCAGTCGCCTCTGGGAGAAATGACTAGGAATAATAAACAGCAGAAAACAGTCAAACTACTCGCCCGACAAACAAGTGTTCATGACTATACACAAACAGTAGAAGAATAGAACAGGAAAAGATCAGTTTCAGCAACAGAACGAGCTCTTTATAACATCGAGAAATCAACGCAAGTGAAGGAGAGCAGAAGCCTGGAGACTAAAAGAGTCCAATGTGTGCGCCAGAACCACACGCCAAGAATACGACAACAGTGGAGTTCAACAACTACAGTATTTACTACTAGAGTATAGACACACACACACACACACACACACACACACACACACACACACACACACGCGCACATGCACACGCACACACACGCACACGAACACGCACGCACACGCACGCGCACACACGCACACGCACACACACACACACTAAACAGCTTTTCAAACACAATCAAAATCAAACGTGTTTTGCAGAACGAAATGGATTGTCAGATAAAAGCCTCATCATGGGACTGAAATACACACACATGCAGACGCACACACACACACACACACAGACACACACACACACCTGTGCTGCAGGAAATGAGTGTGTCTATTGTGAAAGCTTCTTCTGTAGTCTGCCTGCTGCCGCTGGACTCTGCTATTGATTTGCCGGGCGCTCTGGATTCCTGCTTTTCTGAGAAACTGGGCAATTTCAGCACGTGACGAAGCAAGCGTCCAATTTCTGAGTCCCAGCCGGCGTCCAACAAAAGCATCTCGTGTTTGATTGAAGCAATTCTGATGTACGGCACACAGTTCAGGAGGTGTCGGAGCGGCGCTCGGCCAGAAACAGAAAGAGTTTGAGCCGCGCTGTGGACATCCAGCTACACCACTGACCTTTAACCTGCACAGACTGACAGCTACCAAAGCCTGGCTCTCCGCTGGGTCCCTGAGGGCCTGCAGGGGCAGCCAGCAGAGCTTAACGTCAGCATGAACACTGGCGTTCTGACTCTTATTTCAGTGTGCTGATGTTCTTCAACTGAGAATGAATATTGAGTAGAGGGCGGGGCTTTATTCTTGCACATCATTCCCCCATTCCAAACTAACAGTAAGAGGGGCGTGGCTAAAGACAGAATGAAATCTAAATATACTCTGCTTATTTTATATGTATACAGTAGAGCTGGTCATCCACACTGCGTCTCTGCACCGCAGTCTGTTCCTACATTTCAATAGAACTCAGAAGATTTGACTTCATTTCTGTCAGTCCATTAGGGTGGGGCTTTCAGTCATTTAGGGCAGGGCTATCAGTCTTTTAGGGCGGGGCTATCAGTCTTTTAGGGTGGGGCTATCAGTCTTTTAGGGTGGGGCTATCAGTCTTTTAGGGTGGGGCTATCAGTCTTTTAGGGTGGGGCTATCAGTCTTTTAGGGCGGGGCTATCAGTCTTTTAGGGTGGGGCTATCAGTCTTTTAGGGCGGGGCTATCAGTCTTTTAGGGCGGGGCTATCAGTCTTTTAGGGCAGGGCTATCAGTCTTTTAGGGCGGGGCTATCAGTCTTTTAGGGTGGGGCTATCAGTCTTTTAGGGTGGGGCTTTCAGTTCTTGAGGCCGGGGCTATCAGTCCTTTAGGGCGGGGCTTTCAGTCATTTAGGGCAGGGCTGCCAGGCCTTTAGGGTGGGTCTATTAGTACTTTAACGTGAGGCTAT